CACTCCTACAGGGCACTTTAAATCCTTTTGGAATGAGCAAGATATAAATAAGTGTATACTCACCTTTCAACATCCAGATCAAATATCACCTCTGCTGCAGAACTTTCAGACTCCCAGACGGAGCCAGTCATTCCTTCCGCAGTGCTGTCAGCATGACACGTGCGCTGCTGTTACTCATGCCTCTCCCTAGAGGTCAGATCCTCCAGGGCAGTCTCGCCCTCCATGTGCCCTTTAAAATGCTGGGGTCACAGATGTTCCCAATCAGTAACTATGGAGATGTCTTATTTGGCGGTTGAGCAGACAAGCCTGTTTACTCCTCCTGTGCTTTTCTTCTAACTGAAGATGAACCCTCTTTTTCCTGGGGAGATGCCCCACTTCTTCAACTAAGAGCACAGATTTGAGAGGGAACAGCATGAAGAGATGGGGGGATGGGGATCAGCAGAGGTCGCCTTTCCTCCCTAACGCATACCCCATAAATGGCACAAATAATCTTGATATAAATCGAAACTGCAATGTAAAAATGTTCTCTATTCATATATTTTCTTTCAGTCTTAATTTGTGAAAGAGTTGAAAAGCCATAATACATAACAAATATTGAAGAACATAATTCTGTATGTGTGTGCCTAAGAAATAATGGATTTGTTCTCTGGAAATTTGTTCTTGGATCGTATTTTCTGTACTGGGAAACAAGGCTCATTGGCAGTAGAATGTTCTGAATTTTCCTCTTACTTTCTAAACAAAACTTCAAAGGCATACTCTACCCTCCTTTTTCTCCCTAATGTCTCACGTGGTTAGATAACGCAGTGGTGAGTCAGCCTGTAAGTTTCCATAATTGGCTAAATAATGACTTAGCTCATATGAATGGGTGCTTCCCCTTTTTCCACTGGTCCTTACCTGCCACCTCCATCAAGACCACTTCCTCTGGGCCAGATGTGTAGTGAAGAGCAGTGAAAGAGATGTACTTGGAGAGGACAGGCAGGCAAGGAAGCCCAATGATGGCAGATCAAGGCTGGATGTGTGTGTAGCATTTCCCATCACAACTGAAGCTGGACAGAAGGACCTGCGGAAGATTGGTGAGACTCACAATTAGCTCAGGGTACTAAAGAAGCCTTCACTTGGAAGTATCTAGTTAAATACAACCCAGGAACAGAACTGAGAGCACTCTCTAGACATGGCCAGCCTCTGCCGTCCGTGCCTCTTGGCACCACCCTGAGGCACCCATCCCACGTGTTCTATAATGGAGTTACTGTTCTCTTCTTCACAATTAGACTGTACTTCACAAAAGAAGGAGATGCCTTTAATTCATCTTTATCTTTCTCAGAGAGTCTGGCAAAGCATATCTCCTCAATATGCTCTTGTTTAACAAATAAGTTAAATAGACATCACTCAGAAAGAATTAGTTGCTAACACTGAAATGGCAGCTTCATACAGGATCCAGATATACTCATTACCTATTTTAAGCAAGTCTGACAAGAGAAGGCACTTGTCTTCTGTAAAGAGCTTCAAAAGGGTGTTCAAAATCTTTGCCTCACTAGCTGGAGAGCCCACTGGACAGCACTGCTCTCGGAGGCCACTGTCCGCAGCAGTGCTTGCACCCATTCCCTCTGGCTGCAGTAGGGCTCACTGAAGGGTGCCTGGCACGTGTGTTTATTTGGCACAGAGTGTCATGAAGAAGTCAAGCCTTCTGGAACCCTATTATGAAATAAGCTGGATTCTAATTTTGACCCCAGAATCCTAAAATCTTCCCCAAAACATACCAATTGAAGATGTAAATAGGAGGCAGAGAAAGGCAAAGTACATGGAAAGATACCAAACTCAGGAGACACACACTCCTAATTGTGCATGAGAAACAATTTGCATGAGTAACAGTAAATCACAACAAACTAATTTTAGCTGTTAGCTTCCATAGCCACATATCAAATTGTACTTATTGTGGATGTACTTAAGTTTAAGTGAAGGTAGTACTGTACTGTACAGGGAAATCCATAATTATAAAATAGATAATGTAGAGTTTGCAAAATATTTACCATTGAATTAATTTTTAATAGCATCTTCCCATTATGCATTTAAATTATGAATTATGCATTAAATGCATAATGATTGATTGGGTTCCCTCTTCCACCCCATTCCCAGGTCTCATAGATACTAACAAAATTAAGGTATCCAAACGACAGGCACAGTGGAAAGTGTATAGCAAGGAGGCTGGAAAAATGTACCCAGGCTATGACTGACTCCTGAAGAGCTGAGATCAATCCTTATTTGTGATCAGAGACATTCATGGAAATCATGAATCAAATCATAGCTATCAAAGGGAAGAGAACTGTCTGCATCTCCCCAAACACATTCAAATAAACTCTCAAGTGCAGATGCCTTTACAATTGGAAACAAGCCTGGCAAATTGGCGTTCATTTCTACATCTTTCCTTTTGAACCTCAGAGGAAGCACTGTTTCCTCTGTACCTAACTTTCCCCAGATCTTAATCCCATGTCATTTGCCCTTCACAAAGTGGCTTCATCACTTTGTCCCTTTTGTTCCTTAACCCTTTCCTCTCCCCAGGCTTATTTATCTGAACTTAAACATACACTGGAACATATCACTTACAATATCCCATTTTCCTCACCCTGCGTTACCTTTTAGCTGTCACCCATCCTTTCCTTCCTTTCTGCTCAGGATCATCAAAAGAGATAGTTGTTAAACGCAATCTTTTATACTTTTTATTCTATTTGATTCACTCTTTTAAACCTTCATTCATTCTCAAACATCTGCAATTGTGTTTTCACTAAAGTACTTTCCCTAATGCCCTCGTGGCTACTTTTGAAATAGGTATCTCAGGGGCACTTACTGGTCCTCTCACCTTGAACTCTTTGCTACATTGGGCACTGTTGACCCTTTCTAACTTCTTAACATTCTCTCTTCCTTGAGCTCCTACTATACGTTTCTCCTGATCGCCTCACAATCCCCGCACCCACTGTGAATTTGAAACCTGGTTCCATCAGTTTCTCCACGTAGCGTTGGGTAAGTTACGTGAAATCAGGTGTTAGCTGTACTGACTGCATCAGCCTTCAAGCTGTCCAGCTGTGTCAGCCAGGGTCCCAGCATACAGCAGAAACCAGAGTGAAGAGAGTCTAATCAAGGGATAATTCAAGGGGTGGTGAAGCATCAGGAAACAATTACCAGAGGCAGGAAAGAGCTGGAAATGTGGGAAAAGTGCCAATCAACAGGAATTTCAGTCATGGAAGACTTCAATCATTGCCAAAACCAAAGGGGAGCTGGGTTGGGAAGAGATAAACACCCTGACCGTATCTCACTCCTACTATCCTCCAACCTTCTTCTGGCCCCTTTCATTGGTCAAACCTAACCGGAAACCCACAGCACAATGGAGGCTGGTGCCAACTCTAGAGGTCCGCCTCCTGAGATGCACAGCAAGGCAGGGAAGAGCAGACAACGGACCAGATGGAGGACCAGCAGAGAACAGCCAGCACACGAGCACACTGCTTACCATCTCCTTCATTTACTTAGAAAATAGTGTGTGTGTGCCAGGGACTATTCGAGAGAATACAGGGGGTCACAAGACAGAAAAAATGCCCATTTGTATAATGCTTTTTTTTTTTTTTTTTTTTTTTTTTTAGCTGAGCCATCCTGCCACCTGTTGGCAGCTCAGCTCGGGCTGGGACTCAAACTGCTGTTGCTCAGAGCTCGCAGTCTTGAGCGAGCTCTTAACCAGCTGAGCCACTCGGCCGGCCCTGCATGGTGCTTTCTTTCTCCGTAGGGAGGACAGACAGTAAACAATAACCATCCAAGGCATTTCAGAGGGTAGATGCAATGAAGGAAAAAGAGTATCATGACTCTAACACAGAGAGGGCAGTCCTTTAGATGAGGGTAATCAGGGTGGTCTTCTCTGAGATGACAGAAGAAAGGGATAATAGGAAAGCTTTCTAAGAGCTAGGAGAAGTGTTTATGAGATCAGAAGGGCAGAGTGCAAACATCCAGAGGTGGAAACCAGTGTGGCTTATCCAAGGGAGAGACAACAGTGTGGCTGGAAGTAGGTGGCAGATGAGGGACTGTAGGCAGAGGCTAGATCACAAAGGGCTTTGTAGGCCAGACAAGGGGGTGGGTGTTTTTGTTAATGCAACACAAAGGCTTTAGGCTGAGGGTGGGAGGTTGGAGTGTTTCTAGGTTAAGACAAATCTATCCTTATTTGTAAAATGTAACTTTCATAATTCTGCTACAAATAAATTGTAGTGAGACGAGAATGGGCTGACCAGAGCTTCCATGTTCAGGAGAACTGGGTGGTGTGTCGCACAGCACAGAGGGGCGCTGTTTGGATCAGGGTGAGCGCCTGACATGAGAGTCGCCCCGCCACAGGCTGGGGGGAGCCCAGGCATGGCTTAGAGCACAAGGCTCTCGCAACTATACTATCCTCCTCTGAAATGTACATCAGAGGATAAAAAGACGAAGCAGCAGACTATAACATGAGGACAGATCAAAGAAACGGGGAACAACAGAGATACAATGGGACAGAAAAAGAGAATAACTTCTCTTTAGAGGCGCCTTGATTCCTACTAGCTACTCATACGTCTATTAAAAAACCCCTCCTGCTTCCGCCCTTTTAATTAAGGCAGTTGGTCTCTCTCTCTCTCTCTCTCTCTCTCTCTCTCTCTCTCTCTCTCTCTCTCATGCAAAACAGTCTAAGGGGCACACTGGTGTCCCCAAGATTTCGCTCGTTCACATCAGCAGGCAGTGACAAAGATCTGCCCTGGTAACAAATAAAACCCTCAAATCTCAGTTGGTTAAAACAACCACCGTTCACTTCTCACTCAACACCATTCACGAGGTGACGGGACTCTGTTCCGCACCCTCCTCCCTCCGTGGCCGAGACTGACGGGGCAGGCGCAGTCTGAACGCTGCCGGTTGCCATGGCAAAAGCAAGAAGCGTTCCAGAAGGCCTCGCATCGGCAATTAAATGTCTCGCTCACAGTTCAGGGGCGGTCGTGGGGCTCATGCCGGCCACGGGAGGCCAGGACGTGCGGCCCTGCCGCGTCCTGTCGCACGTGGAAGGGGACCGGGGGTCCGCGGCACGCCCACGCCGCTCACTGCGGCCAGAAGCCCATGTCGGAGCGTCCAGGAGACGACTCGTGTCCCCGCCTGACCCACATTCTCAGCCGCCCGCGGGAACGCCACGCGTGAACGGAACCACACGACTCCAAGCTCACCTATGAAGACCGAGCTCCCCCCCTTCCCCACAAGCCGTCCGCGCCCTTTCTTTCGGCCAGCGGCCCCGTCACCCTCCCCGACCTGCAACAAGAAGCCACTCAGTCGCCAGGCCCGGGGGCGCCGTTCCCCGTCCCCCG